CTCCCGCTCTGGAGGATCTGACCAGTCCGGGCACAGTCGGCTGCAAGTGAGTCCAGCTTTGGCCTCGGGCAGAGGCTGCTGCCAGGAGGTGGAGAAATCAGTATGGACCTGTGATGGCTGCGCAGGGCTTGGAACGAGTCTGAAGATGTGAAGACCTTGAACGCACAGTTGGTCGACCCGTAAACCATCTGCAAGGTTAGGAAGCTGTCTGTGACAGGAGGCTGAAGAACTAGGCCTACTCCTCCCCTCCCCGCCACCTGTCCTCTGTTTTCCAGGTATTTTCACTCCGGAGGCCTGAGCCCGACCAGGCCGGAACCTGTGTTCGCAGCGCCGAAGCCGACCAGGCCTCGGGAGCTCCCCACGCCCACACGAGTCAGAGGGCGGGTGCTGCTGAAGGCGCGGAGCAGCAGGGACCTCGCGAGGGCCAGTGTGGGGAGACGACCGTGCGAAGATCTCCCGCTCGCTCCCTGGGGCTCTGACCCCGTGTGGATATATGTGCTTCTTACTATGAAAGTTTCTCTTGGTCCCTCATAGCATTCCCTTATTTTTGCGTTTTCCCCCTCACAAAAATGACCATAATGAAGAGTTTTTAAAAGCATGTTTAATTTACCGGAGTTGTATGCTTCCAGAGATTTGAAACCAGATGAATTAAAATATCTAATACTTCACTTTATAAAAATGTAATCTCCCCAGAGCCGCCGCGTCACTTGGTTGGCTTGTCCCGGCAGAGGGCGGGAGGGGCTGGTGTCCGCAGGGCCCGGGTTACATGTGAGGAGGACGTGGCGGTAGTGGGAGGGGAAGGGTACGGATCCCCACGCGGGCATGAGGGCCCCTGCTGGGGAGGAGGAAAGCGCTCGGCCTCCTGAGCGAGGCCAGGCGGGAGGCCAGGCGGGAGGCCAGGCGTCCCTGCCGTGGAGCAGAGGAGCCGCAAGGAGCCCGAAGGGCTAGGAATCTGGGACGCTGGTTGAGCTGTTACAGACGCTGCTTCCCTAACACCCCCCGGGGCTCTGAGTTTGCTGACGAGCCCTGCAGCCCGGGGTCTGTCTCCAGAGGCAGACACTGGAGAAGGGACTGAGTAGCAGGGAGCCACCCGATGTTCAGTGTGCTTGCTGAGGGCGAAGAAGAAGAATTTCCATCAGGAGCAGCCCATTACAGGGAACTGGACCGGTAAAGCCGTCCTCGAGACCCTGGTGGACGCAGCAGCTCAATTAGTCTAATCACTCAATTAGACTAATCTTGACTTATGTAGCCTTGGGTGTTTTGTCATTTTATGTTCCCCATGGGTCACTGTCACCAAGCAATGAAACTTCTTTTTCATCCCCGTTTTCTTTTTTTTATCCTCACCCGAGGATATTTTTCCATTTTTTGTACAGATAGAGTGGGAGGGAGAGAGAGAGAGAAACATCGACGTGAAAGGGACACATCGAGTGGCTGCCACCCGCACGACCAACCAGGGCCGGGAACAAACTGCAACCGAGGTACGTGCCCTTAGTGGGAACCGAACCCGGGTCTCTCCGGACCGCAGGCCGACGCTCTAACCGCTGAGCCAAACTGGCCAGGGCTTTCATCCCTGTTTTCTATGTGGCTCAGTCCTATGCCAAGTGTGCAACACATACCCTCAAATGTTTACCGAATAGTAGTTTAACAGAGACTGTGATATTTGCCTGCCTAACATAAATTCTCTCCGTCTCCCATAGGAACAGAACCTTGCTTGCTTCTTCCAGAGGTAGTAATGTACTTGGCCAAACACACACGCGCGCGCGCGCGCACACACACACACACACACAGAGTCCTGGTCCATAAAATAAAGCTGCTGGGAGAAACTTTCACAAATGCTTTTTTAAGAAAGAAAGACTTGTCTAGCTTAAGCCTTTTACCCTTCACTTTTCCCCTTCTTTATGCCTGAAACGTGTGTGTGATGGCTGGTGCCCCAGCAGCTATCTTGCATGCACAGGGATGGAGCTGAAAGAGGAGAAAACTAGAAGCAGTCTGGGTCTCTGAAGACACTGCAGAGCTGCTGCACTGGCCTTGTCTAGACAACTTCCAGACTCCTCATTACAAGAGAGAAGAAGAGCAACCTCTCTTATTGAAGACAGTTTTTTTTTGTTTGTTTGTTTTGGTTTTGGTTTGCTGCTAATTCAGCATGCAAAGGAGATGGAGAGAGGAAGAAAAACTATACAGTGAAGAAATATAAAGATTCGAGATCATCTTAAATTCAAAAACAGTTGTCCTGCAACACTACCAGTTCTTGACTCATTATTGAAATAAAATGACATTTTAAAACATGCAAAAGTCACAGGCTCTATGACACAGTGGCCAGAGCAGTGAACTGGGAGAGGGGGATTTCCCGTAGGAAAAAAAGGGGTACAGGATTGTTGTGAGAAACTAACATACGAGGTAAAATACTCAGACCAGGTCCAGCACAAGCCCAGAGAGAACAGACCCCCTCCGGCAGTGGAAGGCACACATGTAACCAAGAACAGCACCCCGAGTTCACGAAAACCCCCACAGCTCTGCCTCTGCAAGGGCAGTCACCTCAGGGCAATGCCACTGGCTGTCTCACCCTAACCGGAAACTCTGTGTGTCCTACGTGAACGAGAGAAGGAAAGAGGGAGGGCAGATGATTCGTTAGTGAACTGACAGTTTGCACAGTGGGCGACATCTCCTGACCATGGTGGAGAAAACCTGCAAGTGTTCTTGGCGACGACAACGCGGGACCCGGTGGGCTTGGTGACCCTGAGTTCCCCCCTAGCTCCCGATTCCGATCTTGCAGCTCTCCTTTGGGGAGCCAGCCGCCCCTGCCCCTGCCGCTGGCCAGGCGACGGCCGGTGAGGAGTCCTCATCACACCTGATTCAGAGCACAGGCGTCCAGCCCAGCCGAGCGCTGCCCGCGCGGGGGGGGGGGGGGGGGGGGTAGCGGTACGCAGTCTGCAAGCAGGTGTGTGGGACCTGGGGCTCCACGCCCTGGTCCCCGGGAGTGGAACTGGCAACCATTTCACTATACCAGGTGGTGTGACACAGATGTGGGGGGGGAGGGAGCAAGGGCATTGCATACCCACGACCCGAACGACAGGAAAATGTCGAGGCACGGCTACTAAAATCAACGTCCCTCTCCGGAAAGGGGGGGACGGCCAGCGCAAGGGCGGAGCAGGTCTGCGCCCCGAGGAACGGCAGGAGGCTGGGCAGCTGGAGGGTGCTGAGCACGGGGGAGGGTGCTGAGCACGGGGGAGGGTGCTGAGCACGGGGGAGGGTGCTGAGCACGGGGGAGGGTGGCAAGAGTCGCAGTCTGAGGGGCTGCACGGCGGGGTCTGCGGCCCTTCTCGGACTCGGTTTCCATCCCAGTGAGAGGGAGCCACGGGGTCTGGGCAGGGGTGGCCCCCCTGACCTGGTGGAGGGCCCCCTGGCTCTTGGGTGGAGAATACATTGTGCAGGGCAAGGACGGGAGCAGAGGGAGCGGTGGGGAGGACCTGAGTGATCCAGCCAGAGGTGGTGGGGAGCCAGCAGGCCAGGCTGACTGGATGTGGGTGTGAGAGGAAGCCAGTCGAGAAAGACCAAGATTTCAGCCCCGAGCGACTGGGAGAAACGGCCGCCCTGGCCGAGAAGGTGAAGGCTGCCGGCAGAACGGCCCTGGCGAGAATCCGGGCGTCCCTCGGACATCTGCGCGCCTGAGCTCGGAGCTTCAGGAGGGGTCCGGGCTCTGAACTGCAGACAGGGGTGAGGGGCCGCTGGCGGCTGACGGCAGACAAAGCCTTGAGAAGGAAGGACCTGCGCTGACGGCATGAAGGTGTTCTCAGGTGAGCAGGGGTAGGAAGGGTCCTAGTCCCAGCTTTGCCGCCACCGACAGCCCTCCTCTGAGGCGGCCACGGTCCGTCTCTGAAAGAGCAGAGGCAGAGTAGTGGATGCTTGGTTTCCTGTGACCCTACAGATGGACTATGAATCACGCCCTTGATCACTGTGACCCTTCAAGGCCATTCCGCGTCAGGGGAGCGGTGCCAGGTGACCCGGGGGCGATGACATCTGGGACCTGGAATCTAGGCGCCCTGGGAGACTTAGAGGGTCTGCACCCACTGACCGGCATTTGCCCCACCGAAGTTGTTCTCTTCAGCGTTATCAGTGACTGACTGTCCCCCGCTTGTCCCCAAACGGGAAATCTAGGACCTGACCGGCATCCTTCCTCTTCCTAACCCACTGCCCTGACTCCCAAGTACTCCGGAATCTATCCTCACCTGCCCTGTGAGCTCACTGACAGCAGGTCCCCCACAGCTTTTATTTCGTCAGCAGGGATGTGGGGGGGCTGGACTGTTTCAACAGCCACCTCACTGTCTCTGTGCTGCTCGCCCCGCTCCTCCCCGACCCAACCCGTCCTGGGGGTGCTGCCGCCCCGAAGAGCCCACGACCGCGTCTGGCCTGGGGGCAGGCACCAGGTGAACAGCAGCCGCTACAGAATTACTCTCTTCTTAGAAACACATTTCATTGCCTTCTTCTAAATCGGTCCACGTGGACACGGCTACATATTAGCTGAAGTGCTTTTCTTAAGAGAGCAGAAGATGATCAGCTAGAGGGATGGCAACAGTGTTAAGCAATCATTGAAGCTCATTTCTGAGCCGTCTATGCAGAACCCCTCGGGCGGGGTCCTTTCCCACAGCCTCGCCGGCTCCCCTAAGCACAAGCAGACCGGCCGCAGCTCCCACTTCCCGCACCTTCGGTGGCCTCCGGAGGAGGGAGCCCCAGCAGCAGCCCTCTCCCCGCAGCCAGGGGCCGGCGCCGCCCACCCAGCCCGCCCCTGAGCACTGTAGAGAGTGGAGGCGCCCAAACCAGCCACATCCACATCCGCATCAAACGCGCTCTCCAGAGAGTCGCCCGAGGCATTTTTTGCCCCTGGACCTGCTTTGTCCTGGTAAACAGAACCCAGTGCCGGCCCTTCAACGCGCATCCGTGTAATAAATCAGCCGAATTTCCCCAGGAGAGAGAAACAGACACGCAGAAACCCGCCCTCCTACCTTCCTGAAGTCACGCACACTGACTCTGCCACTAGGCTCCTTGCCGAAGTGAAGAAACCGGTGTTTGAACGCTGGGTCCTGCTGCTCTACCCAGCTTCTGAGTTTCCCAACAGCTTCGTCCCTGGTCACGTTCCGGGTCAAAGTGCTTTTGTTCTCCGTGGGCTTGGTTCTAAAATCACAAGCAGGCATTTAGGCCCCGCGGGGGCTCGCCCACGTTGCGTTCAACCACGAGGAGGTTACCACCCCCTGCGAGCGGCACTGGGTTGGGCGAAGCCCCTCCCTTGGTGCCCGTGTGTGGTGGCAGGTGGGGGTGGGGACTTCAGGAAGAGAATATTGTCACCTGCGCTTTGACCTGGCTGAATATGGCGTGTGGCTAGGCAGACATGGTTGGATATTTTTGTGAACCGGGAAAATAAAAAGTCAGAGTCCATGTTAAAGCTTTAAATGAAACAGGCATTGTGTGGTAACTGAGTCACAGGCGTGGTCAAACCTGCAGGGGAAGAAGGGGCCGCAGCCTTCCCAGCCGGGTTAGGAGACAGATCCGACGCGCTGGGCTGGGTGAGGGCAGCGGGTCTGCAGGACAGCTCTCCTCCGCTGTCCAGAGTCCTGGGCCCACTAGGCGGGCGCAGGCGGCCCGAGAATGGCCTGCACCTCCCCCGGCCGCCTCTGCGGTCTTGGAAGAGCTTCCCAGGAACGCCCACATTTTCTGAAGTCTCCATGGCCATCCCTCCCTCCACTGGTTTCGGGAGGCAGACACCCCACCGCTGCGCATTTTACCTGTGCTCTTAAATATCATCTTTCTGCCCGCTGACAACGCAGCTACTACCGAAATGCCCAGCAAGTCGAATTTCATTAGCACAGCATTAAAATATCCCCATTGCCCTGCACTTAAGAACTTTTAGGAAGGGATATGAGCAAGTGCAGTCGGTGGAATGCCTCCACGTTTTACCCTTCTTCCTGGATTTATTGTGAGCTATGAGCAAGCAAGTTAGAATAATATCTCTCCATTCGACTAGACCTGTATTCTCCACAACGAAGGGAGGTGAGAATATCCGCCAGTCTGATTTTTCATAGATTCCCTAAGTAGGTTTTATTGCTACGATCAATCTGGCAATCAGTTCCATAATTCTGGCACTCCTGTTAGAAGAAGTTCAGCGGCTGAAGGGGTGTGCGTCGTAATCGATGTTAACCAGCGGCAGGACCCCACATCGTGGGGGAGGGTGGGGGAGCGTAGGCGTGCAGCCGCTGAGGGGCAGACCGCTGCTCTGGGGGTCGACAGCCCTGGGTTCTTGGCCCGGGCTGGCCATGAGGTTTGTGGAACTGGAGGCAAGTCCCAGACCTCTGTGTGCTTTCATTTCCAGAATTAATGGGTCAGTTCAATAATTCCTAACATCCACTGACTCCAGTCACTGTGTTTAGTCTGCCATCTTTCTTATTTAGATAATAAACTATTAACACACGCATTTAGTCAACAGCTCTGTCCCAGCTGCCTGTCCACAGCGGGTGCTTTTCACGGGCGCTTCTGCTCTCTCTCCTTTTACCTCTTAGCGTGACTGGGCTGCTGCTGCTCCTCTTGCTGGACGTGGCCCCGCGGCGGCCGGTCCTTTGCAGCAGGAACCGGACAGGCGGCGGGCAGGCCACCAACTCCCAAGCTTGCCAAGAGGTTCCTGTAAAGGACTTTTCCCGAAGCAGCATCCTGAAACTCACTGCAGAGTCTGAATGTTAAAGAGGAGAAGAACACACCCTTTAGAATGGCTACGACCGAAAAGACGGGCCCTCCCAGGCGTCAGCGAGGAAGTGGGTGAGCACCACCCTCACCCGCCACTGGCGGGGTGTGAAGGGGGGCAGCAGCCTCCTTGGAAGACAGGTTGGTGGCACACCGGGAAACACTGGGCCAAGAACCCCAGAGGCCGTGCCGCCCGAGGGACAGCCAGGAAGTGGGGGTGGCATGGGAGGCATCACCTCTGCAGAATGAGGGGTTTCGAACCATGGGTTGTCAAGGGCACGTGCAGAGGAGGAAGCCACGGCTCCGTGCCCTGAGGGACGTGGCCCGCTGTGTGGCAGGTGAAGGGGACGACGGGGGGGCAGCACATGGGTCTTCGAGACTCTGTCCTCTTCTTTCTAGCAACACCCCTGTCCCCTTCCAGCTTTGGTTCACCCACCACAAATTAAATTTTAAACTAAAGTTAAACAAAAACATAATTCAAGCCCTGGTCACTTTGGCTCCGCGGTTAGAGCATCGGCCCAGGGACCAAAGGGTCTTAGGTTTGATTCCTGGTCAAGGGCAAGAACCTGGGTTGCAGGTTCCATCCCCAGCCCAGGTCGGGATCACTCAGGAGGCAACCAATTGATATGTCTCCCTCACACTGATGTTTCTCTCTCTCTCTCTCCTTCCCTTCCTCCACTCTATCTAAAAAAATCAATGAAGCCCGGCTGGTGTGGCTCAGTGGTTGAACGTCGACCCATGCATCAAGAGGTCACCGGTTCGATTCCCGGTCAGGACACATGCCCAGGTTGTGGGCCCGATCCCCAGTGGGGGGCGCGCAGGTGGCGGCCCATTGATGTTCTCTCTCATCAATGTTTCTATCTCTCCCTCTTCCTTCCTCTCTCTCTAAAATCCATAAAGAAAAAAATTTTTTTTTAAATCAATGGAAAAATATCCTCAGGTGAGGATTAACAAATGTGTGTGTGTGTGTATATGCACACATACACATATATATTCATGTATATACACACATACACACACACACACACACACACACACACACACATATATAAAATTCAAGCTACTGTGTCTCGAGGCCTCGTCACCTCACCCATGGGAAGTAACAACAGCAACCTCGCACAGCTGTGGTGAGGACTAAGTCACACAGCATGAGCCAAACTCTCAACATCTGATGTTGGTGAGGACTCGATAAATAGCTATCATCAATATTACCTGTTAATACTGCGAGTGCACAGAGGAAAAGGGTTAGAATGACAAAAACGGACTTGATGAAAGACGGGCCGTGAACTTCGTCACCAGGGGACTCACTTGGTTAAGTGCCCCGCCGTCAGACACGGACAGAACATGTGCATCACCTTCTTGAGGCTGTGTGCGCCCACGAGCCCCGAGCCGCCCGGGTCGTAGGACTGCAGCAGGTTCTGGAAAGGCAGGGGGTTCCTGCCGACCGCCTCACAGACCATTTCTCCCACCTGGCAGGAAACGGAGGTGTTTGCGCGCTGCAGGTGCGGGACCGGGGCGGGGCACCCTGGGCCCCCGAGGGAAGGAAGTGCTACTTACTGAATCCCAGGCCAGCGGGAGCGGTGTCTTGGTGTCTGCAGAGCGGGGCCGTTTTCCTATCTGATTGGGAAAGAGAAGTCAGTAAATAAAGACAAGTTGCTGGCAAAGGCAGCCGGCGCGTGGAGCTGCCAAAGGTGGACTGTCGGTTTTCCCGACGGGCCGCTGGCTCTGGGACCGGAGCCAGTGAGCTTGCTCTCTGATCCCAGCTGGAAATGGAATAAGAACACTGAACTTGCAATTTTTTTTTAAGTACAATAAACATGAGAAAATCCATCACCTAGAAATTAAGAGCCAAGTGGAAGAGCGACAAGACGGCATTTCTGCCTGTCAACGTGGTAAAAACGCACAGGGTGCAAGGTGCCCCTGTCCACAGGAGGACTACTAGACAAGCGGCCAGTCTGCAGGCTCTGGGGCGGGGCTTCCGGGGGCGGGGCTGCCGGGGCGGGGCTGCCGGGGGCCGGGCACCCATTCTTCACCATTCCCTCTGCATCCCCTGCATGTTGTTCTTTCCACATACATTCCTCTTTAAAGCAGTTATAAATTTAAAATAAAATACTCTTTGACCCAATAATTACATTTCTAGAAGTTTATACTAAAGAAATAACCATACAGTGATGCAAAAGAGTGGGTGCCATGATATTCATTGCACCAAAATGTATAAAAGAGAAAAGACACCTGGATTGTAACATCGGGGAATAGTTACTCTGTGTTTTCAAAGTTACATAGCAGAATTTGTACTGACATTGTTAACAATATGTTAATAAATGACAATATTAACTAAAAAGGCTGTAATTACATGATCTCATTTTTAAATAAAATAGGTATCATACATGAAAGTACGTATCCAACCCATCAAATTATATACATAAGTACATGCAGTGTTTTGTATAGTAATTATACCTCAATAAAGCTCCAAAACCAAAGTGTGTGCGTAGGTTTGGGAGGAGATACCACAAAGTGTAAGTGTGGGTAACAATTTCTCGACGTTAGAATTAGTGATGGTTTTTATTCTCTTCTCTCTCCACGTCTGTGTTTCCTAACCCTTCTAATTCAGCCGTTGCTGTTGAGTGAGTCACTCTCCGAGTGGTTTTGTGAGCGAGTCCAGCACTGGGCCCTCCCCTGTGGAACAAGGCAGGCCTCTGCCTTCACGGAGACATGACCACACAAGGAGAACAACGTGACACGGTGACTGCGACAAGTGTGTCAGGTTGAGGACTGCAGGATGGGCTTCTTCGGGGGGGTGTCCCTGAGCAGGCACTGGGCACTGGGACCTGCAGAGTGGGCTTCTTGGGGGGGGGGGGTCCCTGAGCAGGCACTGGGCACTGGGACCTGCAGAGTGGGCTTCTTGGGGGGGGGGGTGTCCCTGAGCAGGCACTGGGCACTGGGACCTGCAGAGTGGGCTTCTTGGGGGGAGTGTGTCCCTGAGCAGGCACTGGGCACTGGGACCTGCAGAGTGGGCTTCTTGGGGGGGTGTCCCTGAGCAGGCACTGGGCACTGGGACCTGCAGAGTGGGCTTCTTGGGGGGGTGTCCCTGAGCAGGCACTGGGCACTGGGACCTGCAGAGTGGGCTTCTTGGGGGGGGGGTGTCCCTGAGCAGGCACTGGGCACTGGGACCTGCAGAGTGGGCTTCTTGGGGGCGTGTCCCTGAGCAGGCACTGGGCACTGGGACCTGCAGAGTGGGCTTCTTGGGGGCGTGTCCCTGAGCAGGCACTGGGCACTGGGACCTGCAGAGTGGGCTTCTTGGGGGGGGTGTGTCCCTGAGCAGGCACTGGGCACTGGGACCTGCAGAGTGGGCTTCTTGGGGCGGTGTCCCTGAGCAGGCACTGGGCACTGGGACCTGCAGAGTGGGCTTCTTGGGGGGGGGGGTGTGTCCCTGAGCAGGCACTGGGCACTGGGACCTGCAGAGTGGGCTTCTTGGTGCGGTGTCCCTGAGCAGGCACTGGGCACTGGGACCTGCAGAGTGGGCTTCTTGGGGGGGGTGTGTCCCTGAGCAGGCACTGGGCACTGGGACCTGCAGAGTGGGCTTCTTGGGGCGGTGTCCCTGAGCAGGCACTGGGCACTGGGACCTGCAGAGTGGCCTCACAGGGCCAGAGGAGCAGGGAGGACATGTTGGCAGGAGCGTCTGCAGGTTCCGAGGCAGGAGGAGAGGCCGGGGCAGTGGACAGGACCCAACCTCCACTGAGCAGAGGTCACTCCGCTTCACGTGCAAGGGGGCCGACTGCTGTCTATATTTTTGGTTTTAAAGAGAAATGATGGCTACGTGCAGGGCTGCTGTGTTGGTCGGAGCTCACACAGGGTCTGTCCCACAGCGGAGTTCAGGGGCAGCTGTCATCATTCACTTCCCTGTGGGAAGGGGCTCTGGGACTTTGGAATTCGAGTTCAAGGAGGATCAAGTGGCGTGGGTTTAAGACAGGGCTATCACCTTGCATTGGTGGGCACTCAAGAAACTCTAATATTAGGCCCTGGTTTGCTCTGTGGTTAGAGTGTCGGCCCGTGGACCAATGAGTTGTGGGTTCAGTTCTGACCAAGGGCACATACCTTGGTTGTGATTCGGTCCCTGGCCCTGGTCAGGGTCGTGTGGGAGGCAGCCAGTTGAAGTGTCTCTCTCACATCGATGTTTCTCTCTCTCTCTCTCTCTCTCTCTCTCTCTCTCACCCCCACCCCTCCTTCCCACTCTGTCTGAAGATAAATGGAAAAATATACTCGGGTGAGGATAAAAAAAAAAAGAAATCCTAATATTAGAAGAAAAGTTCATTTGTAGCTGTTAAAAGAAATCTTAAACCTTTCAACAAGAATCTGTCGATGCCTATTGCGTGCATTGTCTGAAACCAATCTGACTTTTAAAACCTGTTAAAATCTTGAAATGCTAATAGCTGTTACAGTCATGGAAGCACTTCTAATAATACAACACTGTGCCAATTTTTCAGTCGAACGAAACAAACACTACAAGCACGTGTTAGTCACTAGAGGCAGTAGGCAGTTATTACATAAAAGGTGAACTAACAACCAGCCGCGCACACACTGGAGGCCCGGAGGAGGGCCGGGCTGACGTTCTCCGCCCCGCGGGGAGGGGCCTCTCACCGGCACAGGTCCAACAGCCTCCAATACGACTTAGAAACTAAAGGTCAAAATCAAACAACTCTTACGCACTTAGCTTACTGAAAAAAGGAAGTTCACTTGGCTGAAAAATGAACTCAGTGAGGTCGTGAATTTCTTCAAACCATATTTCACCAGCATCTCTTATTTTCTTAAGAAGACTTAAATTTCCCGCCATAAAAAGAAAACCGAACATGAAGTTGCTATGAACTTACCTTAGGGTTCTCTTCCAGCAGTGCGATAAGCGTGTGGACACTGACCAGTCCTGTGCCCCGGGGGTCGAGCGTCTGCATTAGTTCTTTGAATTCTGAGTCACTCATTTTTGCAACCACGCCATTTATGACACGTCGCAATTCTTCCCCTTTCATCTGGTCATCCGTTTTCTGAGCACGAGAGTGTGTACAGGAGAATTTTTTTAATGGAAGGAAAAACATTATATATAGTTAGCATCATTCATAAACCGTGAGCTTTGGCTAAACATAATTACGCTATGAAACAAGAATCCAAGGTTGACAATCTCGGTGGGCAGCGCGGTGGGGGTCAGGGAGGCCAGGACTCTGCAAGTGCAGTTCCTACAATGTTCTCTCTCAGGGTGGGCAGGAGAGGGCCCCAAGGGAGGAAAGAGGATGGTTTGCTGCACAGGCGGACCCCCTTCCCGGGACAGGCTCAAATAGTCCCTCCTGCCCCAACCCCACCCACGGGCTATGTGGCTCAGCCACACGGGACACGAAACTTCCTGGCAATTCCATTACAACTTGCCAGTTTACTAAGAATATTAATTATGCTTGTTTTCACTACCACCAACCTCATCCATTACATAAATGGGCAATTACTTAGCAAGAAAAATTTCAACTCTGATGCATAAAGAAAACAGATTATGAGCAAAATACTGAGAGACAACTTCCCCAGAATAAAAAAATGACTAGTAAGCAATGGACCCAGACAGTAGTTTGGGGGAAAGCAGGAGAGGGGCTGGAGTGGGGAGGAGGGGGGTCAATGGGGGGAAAAAAGAGGGGACACTTTTATAATACTTTCAACAATAAAGATTTTTTTTGATTACCAGTAAGAAAATTAAATATCAAATGGAGAAATACTGTTTACTAGAAGAACAGGAGAAATAATGAACTCCCACCTCATAAAGAGAGATTGTAAATATTAATGTGACTAAAGGGCTGATTAAGTGAGTTATAAATAACTCTTCCTTTGAGGTCCAAAAATCTGAAAAGGACATAAGGTTCTCTTGGGGAAAATTAAGTAATTTAGAAGACAGGGGCATGCTTACTTTGGGTTTTGGGAATGATAGGCAATTTTTTAGTGTCTAAATAGGAATCATTGGCAATGAATTTCCTGTGATTTTCAATAAATCTATAGCATTGTGCAACCATCATCACCACTAATTCCAGAATGCTTTTGCCCCAAAAGAAACTTTGTGCTGATTCATATTCGCTCCCCACTTCCATCCCCAGCCTAAGGCAACTAATAACCTATTTTCTGTCCCTCTGTATTTGCTTTTCTCTGGATACCCATGTAAACCAAACCCGACAATATCTGCATCTGTATGTCTTTTGCATCTGGGTTTTACCACCTTGCATGTTTCTGGGGTTCATCCATGACGTAGCATGGATCACTACGTTCTTTTTTATTTTGGCTCGTATTCCATTGTATGGCTATGCCACACTTTGTCTTGTCATTTGGACTGTTTCCAGTTTGGGAATTTTGAATAATGTTGCTAGGAACATTTGCTCCTAAGTCTCTGTGTGATCTTATGCGTTCAGTCCTCTTGGGCAGAACCGGGAGTGGAATCGCCGGGTCACATGGTGATCTGCTGTTTACATTTTAAAGAAATACCATGTTGTTTTCCGCTGCGGCTGCACCATTTTACACTCCCACCAGCCATGCATGAGAGCTCCATCGCTACTTATTATTGTTTAAGTGGGTCGATCATAGCCATATACAATCAAAGGTGAAATGGCATCTCGTTGTGGGTTTGATTTGCATTTCCCTCATGTCTCACGATATTGAGCATCTCTCCATGTGCTCTTTGCCCATGCATAGGTCTTCTTTGGTGAACTGTCTATTAAAATCTTTTACCCATTTTAGCCCTGGCCAGTTTGGCTCAGCGGTTAGAGCGTCGGCCTGCGGTCCTGAGAGGCCCGGGTTCGGTTCCCGCTAAGGGCGCGTACGTCGGTTGCAGTTTGTCCCCGGCCCTGGTTGGTCGTGCAGGTGGCAGCCACTCGATGTGTCCCTTTCACATCGATGTTTCTCTCTCTGTTCCTGTCTCTCCCTCCCACTCTACCAGAACAAAAAAGGAAAAATGTCCTCGGGTGAGGATTAAAAAAAAAAAAAAAATCTTTTACCCATTTTAAAAATTGGGTTATCATCTTATTAAGTTCTAAGAGTTCTTTCATATTCTACGTACAGGTCCTTGACTAGATACACAATTTACACATGTTGACTCCTAGTCTATGGCCTGTCTTGTCACTTTCTTTTTTTTTCTTTTTGTCTTTATTGCTGAATATATTACAGATGTTCCTCCTTTTTCCCCTATTGATCCCTCCTCCCCACTCCCGCCCCCCCTCCTGCCTTTCCCCACACTGTTGTCAGTGCCCATTGGTTATGCATATAAGTTCTTTGGTTTATTTCTCCCCACCCCACCCCTTCTCTTTGAGGTTTGTCAGTCTAACAACCAATTTGTACTTCTTAATCCCTTCACCTTTTTCACCCATTCCCCCAACCCTCCTCCCATCTGGCAACCAACAAAATGTTCTTTGTATCTATCAAAATGTTTCTGTTCTGCTTGTTCATTTTGTTTGTAGATTCAATTGTCAATAGATATGTATTTATTGCCATTTTGTTTGTTCATATTTTTTATTTTCTTTTTCTTCAAGAAGACCCTTCAACATTTCATATAATAATGGTTTGGTGGTGATGAACTCCTTTAGCTTTTTCTTGTCTGGGAAACTCTTCATGTGGCCATCGATTCTAAATGACAGCTTTGCAGGATAGAGTAATCTTGGTTGTAGGTTCTTGCTTTTCATCACCTTGAATATTTCTTGCCACTCCCTTCGGCCTGCAAAGTTTCTTTTGAGAAATTGGCTGACAGTCTTATGGGAACTCCCTTGTAGGTAACTAACTGCTTTTCTCTTGCTGCTTTTAAGACTCTCTCTTTGTCTTGAACTTTTTGCATTTTGATGATGATGTGTCTTGGTGTGGACCTCTTGGAGTTCATCTTGTTTGGGACTCTCTGTGTTTCCTGGACTTGTATGTCTGTTTCCTTCACCAAGTTAGGGAAGTTTTCTGTCATTATTGTTTCAAATAGATTTTCAATTTCTTGTTCTTTCTTCTCCTTCTGGCACCCCGAAGATGCAAATGTTGGCACGCTTGAAGTTGTCCCAGAGGCTCCTTACACTATCCTCATTTTTTTGTATTCTTCTTTCTTTTTGCTGTTCTTATTGGCTGTCTTTTGCTTCCTTATATTTCAAATCAATGGTTTGCTTCTTGGCTTTACCTACTCTACTATTGAATCTGTAGATTATTCTTTATTTCACTTAGTGCCTCCTTCATTTCTGACTGGTTCTTTTCTATGCTCTTGAGGCCCTCATTAAGTTCATTGAAGTTCTCACTAAGTTCACTGAGCATCCTTACAAGGAGTGTTTTGAACTCTGCATCTGTTAGATTGTTTATCTCCATTTCGCTTAGTTCTTTTCCTGGAGTTTTGTTCTGTTCTTCATTTGGGACCTGTTTCTTTGTCTCCTCATTTTGACTGCCTCCCTGTGTTTGTTTCTATGTATTACTTAAAGAGGGGTATGGGGCTAGCTGAGACCAGATGCTGCTTGTTTGAAAGAATTTAGGAAAATCTGAAGCAGGATCCGAGACAGGCCATTTCCTTCGGTAAAGCAACTGGCAACAGCTTGGGTGGACCTGAAATTTGGGTGGGGCGGGGCCTCAGGGAGTCACCAGGACGGGACAAACAGTGTAAGCCAGGTTGCTAGAGTCCCAGATATGATGGCTGTCTGCCGCCCCAGGGAAGGGCTCACCAAAGGAACAAAAGCCTCTGACAGAATGTCTGTCCAGGAGAAAGCTGCCTCTCCAGCCCTCGCCCCAGTGCCAAACAGCTCAGTTCTTCCCTGTATGTCTCTGGAACCTTTCCAGCTGCCTCCCCCATGCTGGAGCCTGGAGGGTGTGAGTCTGAGTAAGTCCTTTAAGAGGAACTGCCTGGGCTCCAGGAGCCTCAGCCTCTCTCAACCTCAGTTCCTGTTGGTTTTTACAGCCAGAAGTTATGGGGATTCTCTTCCTGGCACTGGAACTCTGAGCTGGCGGCCTGGTGTGGGAGGGGGACCCCTCACTCCTCAGGGAGAACCTTAAGGTATCTCCAATTTTTATCCGCCACACGTGGGTGTGGGCCCAGCCCGTCCCCCTCTGCCCCTCCTACCAGTCCCGATGTGGCTGCTGCTTTAATTCCGTAGTTGTAGGACTTCCATTCAGCTTGATTTCAGACAGTTTTGAATGATGGTTGTTCTGTAGTTTAGTTGTAACTTTGATGTGGTTGTGGGAGGATGTAATACAGTGCTTACCTATGCTGACATCTTCACCGGAAGTCCTCGTCACTTTCTTAATGCATCTTCTGGAGCACAAACATTTTTAAGTTTGATAAATCCAATTTAATGATTTTTTTTTCTTTAATAGATCATGCTTTTAGTGTCATGGCTAAGAAATCTTTGGCTAACACAGGGTCACAAAGATTTATGTATGTGTCTTCTAAGAATTTAATTGTTTTAGCTCTTATATTTAGGTCTAGGATCCATTCTAAGTTAATTTTTGTGTGTGATGTAAGTTCATTTGTCTTTTTGTATATGAATTTTCAACATCATTTGTTGAAAAGATTATTCTTTCTCCAACTGAATTTGCCAAAACTGAGCTGACCACAGTGTAAGAGTTTCTCTACTCTCAATCTGTGCCATAGACCAGTTACTGCAGCTTTATGCTGAGATTCCAAACCTGGAAGTAAGTAATCTAACTTCGTTCTTCTTTTCCAAGACTGTTTTGGCTATACTGCAAACTTTCATTTCCATATTCATTTTTTTTTTTTTTTATCCTCACCCGAGGACATTCTTCCTTTTTTTGTTCCGATAGAGTGGGAGGGAGAGAGAGAGAGAGAAAAACAAACAAACAAATAAACAAACAAACAAAACTTCGACCTGAAAGGGACACATCGAGTGGCTGCCTCCTGCATGACCCAACCAGGGCCGGGGACAAACTGCAACCGTGGTACGTGCCCTTAACGGGAACCAAACCCGGGTCTCTCGGACCGCAGGCCGATGCTCTAACCGCTGAACAAAACTGGCCAGGGCTCCATATTCATTTTTAAGATTAGTTTTTCAATTTTTGCACACACAAAAAGCCAGCTTGGATTTTGATGTAGTTTGCACTGAATTTATAGATCAATTTGGAGAGAACTGCAACCTTAATAATGAGTTTTCCAATCCATGTATATGGACTGTCTCTTCCTTTATTTACATCTGTTTTTCTTTTAATAATATTTTATAATATTCAGTGTACAAGCCTGGTCTACTTTTGTTGAATCTATCCCTTGGTATTCTGTTCTTTTTGTTGCTGTTGTGAATGGAATTGCTGTCTGACATTGTTCTCAGATTGCATGTTGCGAGTTTACATAAATATAACTGCTACTTATATACTGATCTTATATCCTGTAACCTTGAACTCATTCACTAGTTCTAGCAGTTTGTGTGTGCGTGCGCAAGTGTGTGTGCATGAGTGTGTGTGTGTGCATTCCTTAGAGTTTTTTATTACAAGATCATATGGTATGTGAATAAAGAGGGTTTCACTTCTTCCTTTCCACTTTGAATGCCTTTTATTTCTTTTCCTTTCTGATTGCTCGTCTACAACTTCAGTACGATGTTGAATAGAAGTAGCAAGAGCTGACATTCTGTGCTTTTCCGGGTCTTCTGGAAAAAGCATTCAGTCTTTTACCATCATGAGTTCCTCACACGTGCCCTGAGCGGGTTTGGGAATTTCCCTCTATTCCTAGTTTTTTAAGAGTCATCACCATAAGTGAGTGTTGGGTTTTTCAAATACTTTTTCTTCATCTATTGAGATGATCATGTGGCTCTGTCCTTAATTCTACTAATATTGTGTATTACATTGATTGTTTTTTCAGAAGTTAAACCAACCTTCAATCCTGGGATAAACCCCACATGGTCATAGCATTTGATCCTTTTTATATGTTTGCTGATTTGCTTTGCTGACTCATGAAGGACATCGGCCTGTGGTTTTCTTTTCTTGTGATGTCTTATCTAGCTTTTGCATCAGGGTATTATTGGCTTCAGGAAATGAACTGGGAGGTGTCCTTTCCTCCTGTGTATTCTGAAAGTTTGTGAAGGATTGGTATTATTTCTACCACCAATCTTTGTAGTCTTCAACATAGAGAATTTGCACATTTTTGTTAGATATGTTTCTAAGTATTTGATTTTTTTAAAAATTAGAAATGGTATTTTAAAAATTATTTTTCTAATTGCTTATTGCAGTATATAGGAATATAATTTTCTTTGCATATTGACTGTATTCAATGACTTTCTAAATCCTGTTATTAATGCTAATATTTTGTAAAGATTCTTTTAGACTTTCTATGTACAAAATCATGTGAACTGCACACAATAACACTGAAAATAAGAGCAGGTGAGGGGGCAGGGCATGCTTGTTTCTGAGTGGCAGCTGACGTGAACGTAAGTGACCAGGGACACTGGTCCACTCAGAGAGACAGCGGCAGCACGTGGAGGCAGCACGCACAGCTGCTTGGGACGCAGGACCTGGAGCGGAGGGAAGTGGTCTGAGTTCGCGCCCCTCCCGATAGCAGGACAGGGGCCTGTTTCCCACGGCGTCCTCTGCAGCAGGCCAGACGCCCACGCCTGCCTACCCCTCGTCTCCCTCCGCCCTTCTCCTTCCAGGTCCCAGAACGTGGCCAAGGCCAAGGCCAGTGGGCAGTGGCAGTGGGAGGGACGTCCTCCTCGGAAACCATGCACTCTGCCCCCCTAAGGCAGCCGACGGTGGTCGTGCGACACCGCAGAGTGAGCTCAGGGGCAGCAGGGACTTGGCATTACCCATCCACGTGTTCAGCCTGGGTGCCCAAGGCGGGCCCAGCGTGGGGCGGGCCTCGGTGCTCTCTGGCCGCACAGCACCGATGAGTGTGAGAGCCTCATGTTCGCACCTTCACGGTCGTCCATCAGCAGAAAGGCCGACGTCACTATTTTCAATTGAATTACATCTCAGTATATTAATAGAAGCTGAGGTGGGTGAGCACACAAAGCCTTCACTTATGGTTAAGAGGAGGCCCAGCTACACACTCCGGGCAGCTCGGGCAGGGCTGACGGTGCTGCTCTGAGGCTGCTGGTTTGAATCCCGGCTCTGCCACCCCCTAGCTAGAAGCCTCGGGCGTGTGACGTCCCACCCCTGCTCCCATCCTCCGCACAAGGTGGTGAAGCACAGGGGTCCCATGAAGATAATAATAGCACCCACCTCCCGGAGGGGCCGAGAGGCTGAAGTGAGTGGAAACAAGTCCTCACTAAGACAGTGCCTGGCCCGTGGTGAGCACCCCACATGACTGCTCTTCAGAGAGGCCGGGTCACCTGGGGCCTAAAGGCGAATCACAACAGGTGTGCTCGCTAAGCCGTCTCGGCAGGAGACGGAGCCCTGATCTCTGACTCCACACTGCTCAGAAAAGCCAGGCAATGACCTGGTCGATGGACAGGGGAGAGGGGTGTCTCAGGTGGAGGGCCACCCGCCCAAGCCGAAGCCCCTCTGCGCCCCTTGGGCTCCGCCCCGAGCGCCGCCCACTGAGCGGCCGCCCGCAGTCAGCGGCTTTGCGACGGCGCCGTGGAACCCAAGTAACTTCTCTTTTGTACGTGTTTGTGTCTGAAGGAAAATAATTCACTGTAGTGCTGCTTATTTATGAGAAATTCAGTTACTGAATGTGCTTAGTAAATAACAAGCTTGAGAAACGTCGCCTACGTATCAAAAATACTCACATGTTTTCTAAAATAAACATTAAAGTGGGTCAGAGGCTAATCTTTAAAGCAAGCTGCACACTCATGGATCAGCCTCCCTCTGCAGCACAATGAAATGACCCCACAGGCCACTCTGGAACCCAGAAGACGTCCCTGTTCTGGGCCACAAGCCCACCATGAACGCTGAACTCGGGGTTGAGGGAGAAGGTTCAACAGGTCTGGATTACTCGTTAACTCGACCGTAGTGATGACGAGTCATCGCTGAACGACCTCGCCGTGGACTGTTCTCACCCCCTGGCAGGTGTCTTATGAATTGTAACACATTTTATGTCACCGGTCCTCCCGCTGGACCCGGGGCTCGAGGTCAAGCTCCGTATTCCTCAGCACTCAGCACAATTCCCAGCACCTATGGAGCCCAGCCAATGTCTGTTGGATGGATACATGAGTCAAGAAACACCTGCCGTTGGTCTCGTTCTGACCAACACCCCGGCGTTCTCAGAAACAGTGAGGTTTTCAGCGAGGAGGGGTAGAACCTTACAGTGCTGATGACCAGCAGCGCTTTCTTCAACGATTTATAGTCATCTTCACATCTTAATAACTTGGTGATAATATTTTCCCGGCGACATTGATTTCCAGAGTCGGTGCTACAAGATTAAGAAAAGAAAACGAAACAAGATTACGTTCTTGACTAAGATTTGTTCTTACTTAATGCAAGAAAAAAATAAATAAACCAGCCTCACCCTGGCTGGTTTTGCTCAGTGGTTAGAACATCAGCCTGCAGACCGAAGGGTCACATGTTCGATTAAGGGCATGTACCTGGGTTGCAGGTCTGATCCCAGTTGGGGTCGTGCAGGAGACAACCAATCAATGTATCTCTCTCACATCAATACTTTTCTCTCTCTCTCCCTCCCTCCCTCCCTTCCACTCTATCTAAAAATCAATGAAAAAATATCCTTGGGTGAGGATTAACAACAACAACAAAAACCAACAACCAAAAACCACCTTCACGCCTGGCCAGTGTGGCTCAGTGGATTGAGCGTTGTCCCATGGCCTGAGAGGTCCCAGTCCGATTCCTGATCAGGGCACATGCCTGGGTTGCGGGCTCAATCTCCAGTAGGGGGCGTGCAGGAAGCATCCAATTGATGTTTCTCTCTCACATTGATATTTCTCTCTCTCCCCCTTCCTCTCTCTCTAAAAAAATCAATAGAAACATTTTTTAAAAACCCTCACAACTGTAACAATTTCCTGTGTAGCTCTTTTTCCTGGAAGCGTTGTGTGTGTGTAGGGGTCGGCCCTCGGTTGGGGTGTGCCTCGTAAGGGGGGCGGCGCGGACGCACCTGCCACACTTGGCTTTGCTGTGCCACACGCTCCTCCCTGGGCTGTCTGGCTGTGGCCGGCCACCAGCCAGCCTGTGCCTTGGTCTCAAAGAGACCAGGAAAGATGCCACAACCACTGCTGAGACCACCACCTCTCTGGGCGGCATACTGTGGCATACTCACCCAGTGAGAACTGTGGGCATGCGGTTCCAGTTTTAAATGGCCTCCTCCTCTCTGTTGACTGTGGCCATGACCCCGTTATCACGGCCGGGTCCATCGCCTGCTCGTGTGCTCTTGGCGACCTGGGGTCACCCACGCTGCAGGTCAGGCCATCTCACCATGGACTCTCATCAGAAAGGGAACGCAGAATCTCCTAACCAAATCCTCCCCTTTTCGGTGCAAGTCAGACAGTGTGACGACCCCACCAAACAGAGTGAGAATGAATCAGCTCGCCTGCCTAATGATCCTGGTTTGTGTCAGGGACGTCACTGCCCCACCCCACAGCCACCTTCGTTTTTCCAGCCGTGCAGACATCTCAGCACACACACCCCTACTGGTACCGCTGTGATCACCTGGGTATGAACGAGCAGGGAAGGGGCCAAGGGGAGACTGGGTGACGCAGGCACGGCATTTGCACAGCTCTGCCAGCTGACGCTCTCAAGCCTGTTCCCCACAGACGGGTGGGGAAGGGAACAGGAAAGGCAGTTCAGACACATGCCCAGGGAGGTCTGGGCGATGGGGGAAGATGCTCGCCTCTCAGTAAGGCCTGAAAACAGGTCACTGGCCGGAGTGGGCGTGGCCACGGCAAGCAGGGGAGGATCTGAGAGTCAGGCTCCTGAACAAAGGAGGCCCCTCTCGGCCTGCTTGCTCTCCTACTGTTGCTGGCGCCTGACTCTTAGCTTGCGGGGTTCTCACGCCGCACTTGCCCACGGGGCCCACAGCCACGCGGACCCCCACACAACGGACTGATGGACTGTGATTGGCTTGACGCTCTGCCAGAATTAACTCCCCCAGGGAAAGAAAACTCTGGACACTGGCCCTGCTTCTAGCTTTACTGAACCCCCAGCTGCATATTTCCCGGGACTGGTTTAAACAACTGAACTTTAGAAACCAAGAGATGTAGCTTCAACCAGTAAAGATCACTCATTCTCCCATGCGAGTCTCAGAAAATTCTTTTCCTCAAAATATCGCAATAACCCAATCCGCAGCACCTGGTGGGGAAAGGGATGCCCACTCCCACTAGCAACGGAAAAAGACAATCCACACAATTCTCCGGTAATAATACCACCACTTTTAAGAAACACAAAGTAGTGGGATTCCCGAGTGGAGCTCCTCGTGTGACCGGTCAGAACCCCATGTTCTAAAGCCCACCACCACAGCGCTAAGGATGTGTTAGGCAGTAGTTCAATCCCCCACAGTGCGGCTGGTACTGGGTGGGACAGCTCTCCGCCTTGTGTGCGGGTATGTGCGATTGTGTGGTGGGGTGCTACCCGATGCGTGGGCAATGTTTAGCAGCACCCCCAGACTCTACACACTAGATATCGATAGCACCCCCACCCCAGCTGTGACAACCAAAAATGTCTCGTGACATTGCTAAATGTCTCCTGGGCGACCAAGATTGTCCCCAGTTGAGAACCATTGTTTTATTTTTATTTTTTAAATTTTTTTCTCTGTTGATTTTAGAGAGAGAGGAAAGGAGAGGGAGATAGAAACATCGATGAGCGAGAACATCGACTGGCCACCTCCTGCACGCCCCCCACTGGAGATCGGGCCCACAACCGGGCATGTGCCCTGACAGGGAATCGAACCAGTGACCTCTTGGTGCAGGGGTCGACACTCAACCACTGAGCCACAGTGGTCGGGTGAGAACCACTGTTTCAAAGTAAATAAAATTCACCTTTTCATTCTTATATTCCTGGACAAGGTGCTATCAGACAAGAAAACTACAAAGAAGCAAGTAACTTCACTTAAGAAATGAACTCCTAACGGTGCGTCCCAGGAATACCAGAAGCTGGTAACCAGGCAGTCCATCAGCTATTCACAGACCCCTGGGACGAGGATTGGACCCAGTGAATGGGAAGGACCCCCGCGGCGTGTTTTATCTTACAGGGAGTGGCATGCTTTCGATGAGTGTGCCGAGGCGATGGGGCCGCTCTCTCAGATGGATGCGGCAGTCAGTACGGGCTGCGTCAGCACAAACGAAGCCCTCCTTAGAGCACGAGTCTGGATTCTAAGGTGTCACACTGGTAAGTACTTTTCCCCATCTTGGCGCCCCCACCATGATTTATGTGATAATGCAATTCTAAAGTTATAGTAGACAGAGCCCTGGCTGGTGTGGTTAGAGCGTCAGCCTGCACACCCAAGGGTCACTGGTTTGACTCCTGGTCAAGGGCATGCACCTGGGTTGCAGGTTCAATCCCTGGCTGGTCCGGGTGCGTGTGGGAGGCAGCCCATTGATGTGTCTCTCTCCCCTCCCTCCCTCCCTTCCATTCTCTCTAAAAAAGAGAAAAAAATCATGGAGAAAATATCCTCAGGTGAGGATTAACACCCAGTAACAACAACAGAAACCCTCGAGTGAGAGTTAAGGAAAAAGTAAGAGACAAACATAACGGACATTCGAATGAACAGAGAAGTATGGGCGCTCAAGGCCCTCACGGGCCGGATACCAGCGCGTCCGCACCCTGCAGCGTGGCTGGAGATCAGTCGCCACGCAGCGCTTTCCCGCGTGACCCAGCAGACAGGTGTGTGTGCCCGCTGAACAAGAATGCACGCGCAGCCCAGGGCAGCCTGGCGCCGGCATGCGAGGTGCGGGCCCCGTGCCTGCGCCCGGCTCTGCCTCCACTGCTCTGAGCTGTGACCTCGCTGCGACTCCTGGGCTCATTTTCTCGGCCAGAAACTGGAAGAAGAATTAGGCCTACTGTGTAGTTTTAAGGCAATTCTAAGTAGGAATTAGGGGAAATAATGTATACACTGTAAATCACTCTCAAAAGGTCATAGTCAATGCAGACTAACTTATCATTCCAGAAAATGAAGACACTACTTCCGACATTCTCCAGCCTTTTATATGTTATGATGTGTGTAACTAAAATTTAGGATTATTTTTACATACCCATTTTTTTTGGCCAGGGGGACGGCGTTAACTTCCAAGCACCGAGGATCACGCAGTAATGCTAGAAATTGCTTCCAGTTGACTTTACTGGTGGTTTTAAGTCCAAATCTGGATTTAAAAAAATATATTTTAAACATTATTTCTATAACATTGCATAAATTAGATGTTCAATATTGAATTTTAAATCTAAGGTAAACAAACTAATTTGGTAAAATAGCAACTACACACTGACTTTTAACGAGCGAAGACGAATCAAATTATACATCTCCGGGTCCTGACGCCCCATCCGCAGGAGCACACATTGACGGAAGAAACAAAGGGATTTGGTTAAAACTCTGCTGTCCGTGAAATAATTACTTCAAACTCATCGTTCGAGGAGCCCAGCTGCTGTGTGGGCGGAACAAAGGCCTCATGCAGCCACATCCGAGCCCCTGGGACCACGTGGCCTCACGTGGCCAAGAGGACTCGGCGGCTGTGACTGAGGACGTGGACCTGGAGGCGGGAGCGCGTCCCGGGTTGTCCAGGTGGGTCCGATCTAACCCTCCACCGGGAAGGTGGCTTAGAGGATCAGCGCTGATAGGTCACGAAGTCCCGGCTACAGCACCAGGTGGCCAGCAGCCCGGCCCTGCTGTCCTAAGCGTTGCCCAGGCCTCCATAGCGGTGGCGAAAGGTTTCTGTGCCAAGAACCTTAGACAGAGGACGTGAGATGCCAAGGTGGGCATGAGACCAACTGCCCTGTTTCGATTGCTAAAAACCAGTGGCTGAGAGGGAACTGATTCCATGCGGATCAGATGTGGGTCACGCACAAGAGAGCAAGTGTGCGTGTGTACACACAACCACACACGGGCTCGCCTGAGTTCTTGCCCAAGGGCTACCTGGAGGCGTGGACAGACCTCCCTAGAGGTTTTCCTTCTCTATTTCCAGGCTCCAGGAGCTGAGGAGGGAGCGAGCAATCAGCTGGGATGGAGATGCATGTGCCCTCATCAGAGAATGAGGGGTGTGGTTCAAATGTGAAGCCCCAAACCCCCACAGAGGCTCCCATGAAAGGAGACACCTTCGACCCGCGATAGGCCCAGAGAGGCGGTTTCCAGCTCACAGCAGCGCCAGTCAAAGAACTTCCACGCCCCCCTTCTCTCTCGCCTTCCTCGGGGCACAGCGATTCCCAGACGCGCCACAGACGGAGTCTGCGAAATGAGGAAGGAACCAAGCTGCAGAGTGGGGGACGGGAGAAGCGGCCATCGGTACCTGCTCCGCTCTCGCCCGCACAGGCCCTGACCGGTGAGGGGCACAGCCCACAGTTACGCCAAGTCTGCAGCTCTGACTACCCCGGGAATGGCTATTGCAATGACTGACCCAAGGCAAACAGGAAAAGCAAGGTCGGCTCAAGTTTTCATCCAGGGGCAGAAGAACTAATCCAACTGAGCAATTTTAAGGGGCCTGGGAAACAAGATTAGGTTTCTTTAAGATTTAGTCCACGAGTCTCGCCAGCTCTGCTGGGTTCGCCGCGCACCATCCACCCAACTGTCCTCGCATCACGCACGCACCTGGACCAAGCCAGCACCTTCTTTCACTTGGCCGCTGCCGTCACGTTCCGAGCGGTCTCCTTGTACTTGCCTTGCCTTCCTCCAACGTATTTCCATACTTTAACCAGCCTGCTCTTTTTGAAATGCAAATGTGATCAGATTTACTCTCTTGCTTCAAGTCCGTCCATGATTCTCCATGCTCTTAAGATAAAAACTGAAATCCTCCTGTAGCGTACGGCCTGCACGGTTTGGCCCTACGAGCATCCCTGGCCTCATCCTACGTCCTCTGGCCCTGCTCTCCCAGCTCAGCCGCCCTGGTCCTTGGTTCTTCGGACGGGCTATGCCCTTCCCGCCCTGGCCCCCTCACACCGTGGCCGCCGTGGCCAATTGCCACGTTCCCTCCCCGTCATGACCTACTTCCCACACTTTACGTACCTAGTTCCAGTCCCGTGTCAAGTCTCAACCTAACCACTGCTCTCAAGGGAGCCTCCCCTGACTTCCGTCACCAGGGTGATTTGCCCTGTTAGCCGGTCGCCCGCATTTATCACTATTATCTAAGCACTGTCAGCAGTCAACAACTGCTCAGCACTTTGTGATTACAGCGGTTAATGCCTGATAAGTGCTTAGTGTTGTTTCTTCTGCTATTAGTACCACGTACGTGGTCAAGAGAAAGAGAGACTGACTGAGTGGATGGCTGGTTCTGTTAGGCACAGGTGGCAACATCTAACAGGTAGGTTACGACAGTAGTTTGATGCACTGCTATCCACACGCAAAAAAAAGGTTTCATCTTTCATACTCAGTCTCTCTTCCCAAATCTTTGCCCACCCGTTTGATATAGTTTGTTGATGCTCTATATTCTCACCTTAAATTTCAGCATGTTAGAAGTTCATTTTCCATGATGGAAACACTGTGACTACTTTAAAAACAGCACCCATTAAAGATTATGCAAAGAGGTACAGTTAAAAAGACACTATGAAAGTTAAAATAAAATCCCCAAACAATATTCAAATAGTATGAAAGGAAGGCTGGACATAAAGAACACACACACAGCAAGCAAACAGGGAAAGACACGGTGGCCCCAAATCCAAGCATGTCAATAATTATTTTAAATATTAACGGACTAAACATTCTAATCAAATGGTAGAGATGACCAGAATGGATTTTAAAAAAACAAGATCTAAACTCATGCTGTCATAAAAGAGACACATTTAATCTAAAGACAAGAAAGGAAAAGAAAAAAAACCTTAAGCCATGTGATCAAAATCAACATCAACAGTGACAAAGCATAATGACTTAACCATTTAGCTACAGTAATCAAGACAGTGTGGTATTGATATAAGAACAGACCTTTAGATTAATGGAAGAGACTAGAGTCCAGAAATATACTCACTCTTCTATGGCCTATTCTGATTTTGGACAACGGTACAAAGTGATTCACCGGAGAAATGATGGCCTTTTCAATAAATGGCACGGAACAATTGGCCATCTCTACAGAAGAGGAATGGACTTTGACCCTTACTCCACACCATACACAGAAGTTAACTAGAAATGGTCCTCACTGTCAGAGCTAAAATGATTAAATTCTAGAAGAAAATACAGAATAAAATTATTGTGGTATTGGGTGAAGCAAAGGTTTCTGTAAATGTGCCCACCTCCCCCCACCAAAAAAAATTACCCATAAAAAGTTTTAAATACATAAAATGGACTTTATAAAAAATAAAAACTTTTGTACTTTGAAGCACACAGTGAAAAAATAAAGAAGCAAGCCACACAGAGGGAAACTATTTGAAAAATCTATAGCTGACAAAGAGCTCATCTCCAGTCTCTTTAAGGAACTCTTCTAAAGCAAAAGTAAGAGCACAGCCCCATAAAAATGAGCAGATCTGTGCAGATATTCAACCAGAGAAGACACGGGAATGGCCGACGATCGGGTGGAAAGAACCTCCACACGACTAGTCATCTGGGGAACGCACGCCGGCCGCGGAGTGAGCGGCCTCTGCACACACAGCACTGGGACCTCGACGCGCAGGAAGACTGGGGCCCCGAGAGCTGGTGAGGACGGGGCGCTCCTGGGGCTCCCACACGGCGGTGGAGCTGTGAAATGGTAAGCCACCTTGGGGAACAGCTTGACAGTGTCTTAGGAATTAAAACACAGACTCGGCACATGACCCAGAAATTTCACTACTAGGCATTTTTTTACTCAAAGAAATGAAAACGTGTCCACGCAAATGCTTGCATGCAAATGTTCACAGAGTATCTTCCAGAATGACTCCAAACGGAAAACAACCCAAATGTCTATCAAACGGCGGTGTGTCGATATCACACAGCACGACGGGGCAATAACGACGATCGGGACGTTGAGATATACAAACCGTGGTCGAATCTTCGAAACGTGGTCAGTGAAGGCAGTCAGCCACAAAGGACCCCGCACTGTACGACTCCCTTTGTGAGAGCTGGGAAGGCAGAACCGTAGTGACAGCGACAGAGAGCAGTGGCCACGGGGACGAGGGTCAGGAAAGGGAGGGACTGCTGACGAGGGACCAGAGCAGGATTTCAGGGTCAGGGACCGTGTTGTCCACACTACGGACGTGCTCACGTAAGTACACACAGTTGCCAAAACCCATTCAACTATGCACTTGAGAATGAATTGTATTTTATGTAACTTATACTGGGGTTGAAATTTTCTAAAAACATAGATAATAGCCCTGGCCGGTTTGGCTCAGCGATTGGAGCGTCGGCCTGCGGACCAGGGAGTCCTGGGTTCGGTTCCCACTAGGGGCACGTACCAAAAACAAACAACACAAAAACATAGGTAACAGCCAAAGAATCTGAATACACAGTTGTTAACAGAGGAAGTGCATATAAATTTCCAGTGAAGACGCGCCCCCTCCGTACAATGACAGACGGCAGGACGTGCAACCAAACAGCAGCGTCCCACTGCCCTGCCCCCGGAATCGGGGTTCAATGGCAGCGCCAAACGCGGCTGCAGCGCTGGCAGGATGTCCCTGGAAGGGGAGACCAACCCTCTCCGAAGTGCCTTTTAGCAGTAAGTGATGTAAACCCCGCAAGCGAGCGAAACCCTGACTCAAGGGTTCACAAAACATTACCCAGCCATTACAAATTAACTTCCAAGGCACCCGCAACTAATACAAAATAATATTGAATTTAAACTGTAATTAAAAAAACACAATTTAAAACATTCATTTTACAGGCTTTTTAATATCATCAAAGGGCGCCTGATAGAATCTGGGAGAAAACAAGACATGAATTTGTGCCACGCGTGTCTTCAGCTCTGTGACGTGTGCGTGGAAGCGTGTTTACCTGCACAAAGAAATTCTGCACAGAACGTGACCAGTATGTCAATAACAGCGGTCGGTACCGGTGGCTCTCTGGCTATTGCAATTATGGGTAATTTATTTTCTTTATGGTTTCCCCTCCTTTCCAGTTTGAGCCTGTATGGCTTTAGTAATCAACATGAATAAACGTATGAATAAAAATAATTTTCATAAAACCAGCACACACTTTGCTAGAAATCACCCGGATCACCGTTATCCCAAGTCACGAAGATATGGCTGATGGTTTTAA